AATGAAATTTATTTGTTACCAGTTTTTACTCCGGTGCACCGCCCGATGAGACAATCTAGCGTGACCCACCGGTGGGTCACCCCGGCATGAACGTGTTAAATTAAGTCAAGAATTTTCTTTAAAAAATGTAATAAACCTCATTTCCAAGTGGTTATGTATAATTTAGAGAATTCTAAACCAAACACAGTTTAGAAACCAAATAGAAATTTGCATCTTATTTTGAAAAAGAAGTGCATAAAAAGTTGGGATTTTAGCGTTTCTTTACTAAAAAACTTGCCATTGCCATATTGTTTGGCGCCTAGGCTACGGTAGTTGGCGCGAACAAGTACCAATGCGGAAATATCACACAGTAAACACTCATCAATTTAATGTTTCCGTCATACCGTCAATCCGTCTTTTTTTTTGTTTATTTAATTCTGTGACAAATTCTATTTTAAGCAGAGAGAAGAAATATACATTGGTAATTTATACACCAGCATAGTAACATAAATATTTATAATATTCAGCATAAAAATATATTTAAGAAAAAGAAAAATGGAAAAGAGAATATTTAAATAAAACTGTTATTTACCTTTAAGTGCTGAGAAAAATACTTAGCTTTTATTAACACGTAAAGAAGAAACATCCGAAACAATGTATGGAATTAAAATAAAAATCAAACGATAAAAGAGAATACCATAAATTCAATTAAAAAAACGGTAAATTCTTCGTCGAACTAGTAGTTAGGCTTACTATCACACCATATGCTAGGATAATAAAAAAATCATTGCCATTTTCCCGTGTTTTAAACTGAAATTATTTTTAATTTTTTTTATATTATTAATTTAACTCTGTGACAAATTCTACTTTAAAATGAAAGAAGAAAAACATACACTAATAATTTGTACACCACCATAGTAACAAGAAGAAAGAACCATTTTCAGTATTTATTTTTCTATTAGTTTAAAGGTATTAAAGGTGCATGTTAAGCACATAAGTATTTATAATATTCAATACAAATAAAAGGAGAGAATATTTAAGTAAAATTGTAATTTGTTCTTAGTATTAAGAATTAAAGTAGTTATTTTTTTATTAACACTCGATATCCTTTAAAGAAACTTTAAAAGAGTTTATAAAATTAAATTAAAACCAAACAATTGGGTATAATATAAAAAAAAACACAACTACTTCCACTTAGTAGGAATAACATTTACCATGACGCAATGCTAAATTCTATGCCACTATCCACATAAATCAATTATTAATCAAAAATCGAATATCAATTACTTTTCTTTATAATGCAATAAAATCTGGCGAGCAGCTATTTAAACGATCAAACACTTCGTTTGTTTATTTGTGGCTTGAAGTTAGGCTCGCAGAAAATGCCGTTCATGGGTTAAATTTAGTAGGAATAACACAACCTGTGACGTAGGCTATAGTATACCCAATTAAAGAGAATACCATAAATTCAATTTAAAAAGAAAAAGATAAATTCTTCGTCTAACTAGTTGTTAGGCTTATTATCACACCGTGGTGCTACATATGTTAGAAAAATAAAAAAATTATTGCTATTTTCCTGTGTTCTAAATTTAAAATTTCTGCTTTTTTTCTTTCTTATTATAAGTTTAACTCTGTGACAAATTCTACTTTAAATTGGGGGAAGAAAAACATTCATTCACAATTTATACATCAATATAATAACAAGAAGAAAGAGCAGTTTTCAGAATTTATTTTTCTATTAGTTTAAAGGTATTAAAGATGGCTGTGAATCAAATAAATATTAACAATATTTAACATAAAGATATATCTACGAACAAGAAAAATAGAAAAGAGAGAATTTTTTTAGAATATTTAAATAGAATTGCAATTTAATTTAACTGCTGAGAAAAATACGTTTTTATTAACGCTTGATATCCTTAAAGAAAAAAAAACATCCTAACAGTTTATAGAACTAAAATAAAGCTAAGCAATTAAAGAGTGATTCTATAAATTCAATTTTTTTAAAAAAAGACAAATTCTTCGATTAACTGGTACTTAAGTTTATTACAGCACCGTGACGGTATCCATGTATGACGGGAAAAAAAATTATTGCCATTTTCCTGTGTCCAGTGTTTTGATTTAAAAAAAGAACTTGTATTTTCTTATGTTCTAGTATTTGAATAAAAATATTTTTATTCCTATTTGTGGCATAAATTCTCCTTGTTGATTCGAATTAAAATTTGAAAATAAGTCAAATTAAAATCTTGTTACTCATTAATTTTTCAAAGGAATAACTGGATGATAGTTCGAATTGGAAAAAAATAGTCTGTTATGTTTTTTATTAGTTTAACTCTGTGACAAATTCTATTTTAAACTGAGAGAGGAAAAACATATATTAATAATTTATGCATCAACGTAATAACATGATGAAAGAACAGTTTTCAGAATTTATTTTTCGATTAGGTTAAAGGTGTTAAAGATGCATGTTAAGCACATAAATATTTATAACATTCAATGTAAAAATATAACTAAAAACAAGAAAAAGAGAAAAAGCTAATCTAATATATATAATTCTCTTACGTGGCTCCCAAATTTTGACTATATTTCTTTTCCGCTGGTGGCAACAGTTTTCATTTTTAAAGAAGTACTTTGTACAACTAAATAAGATTCTTTTCACAACACTTAAATATTTACTTTATTTTCTTAAGACTGTNAAACATTTCGAAAAAAAAAAAAAACGAATTCTAAAATAAATAAAAATTAACAACTAAAAAATATAAATGCTGTTGCCAGCCATAGAACTTTTTGAAAGTTAACTTAGCAACATAGATCAAAATGACATAGAAGCGCAACTAGATCAAAATTATGAATTACCGTAGAATTTTTTGAAAGTTAACTTAGTAACATAAATCAAAATGACATAGAAGCGCAACTAGATCAAAATTATGATACCTGAGCGCTTGACGTAACAAATTCTTCAATTCTATGAGTGTTGTATCGCCAAGTGCCCAGATTAACAATTGTGTTTTTAAAGAAATTCTATAAAAAGTTTTAAATAAAAAAAACTTCTATCCAGCTATTTCTACAACTGCTTCTTGAAGAACTTGGCTCATTGATTAAAAATATTGTTTTAATTTTACAGTACTAATTTTACTTCTACTAACATTATTGCTATGACCCTCTTTCATTACATTTTACAACTTCATGATAAATTTGAGGACTTTAAGTTGTTTTGTGGTTGAATACTGACATTTAGAAATGTGTACATTAAAAAAATAATATTTAGAGGTTAAGAGTTGCCTCAGAAAAATTTGAATTGT